ATTGGCTGCCCGTCCGGTCCTCCGCCCCCCGCCCCCGCCCAAGGAGTTCCCGGTGATTGGCTGCCGGTCCTACGAGCCTCCGCCCCGCCCCGCCCTGGTACAGCCCACCTCCTCACCGCCTCCCTGGACTGCGCGTTGCAGTCGCCGGTCTCTTTGTCCTGCGCGGTTGGGCGGTGAGTGTGTCCCTGGCCTTTCGCCTCTGGCGGGGAGGGGCCCCGGGTGGCTCGCGGCCCGGGTAGGGGTTGATCTCGCCCCGCGTCCCCTCGAGCTTTGCCCGCCGGGAGCTCCGCTGCTCCCGGCGGCCAGAACGGAGGGGTAGAGCAGCCCTCGGCGGCCCGGGGGGCGGGCGGCCGTGCCCGTCCCAGGGCCGCGCGAGGCACAGGCGCCGCGCCCGGCGGCAGGTAGGTTTCCCGTCGCCGGCCCCGCGCGGTAACAAGTTTGCGCTTTGCTTCCCCAGCACTGATCCGCCGGTACTTTGTAGCGGGTTTCGGGCCGGACCCTGCCTGCGGCCGCAAGAGCCCCCTCGGGCCCACCTTGGTTCGAGAGCCTGTCTCCAGCGTCTGCCGACGTGCAGCGGTCTCAGTTCTAAGCACAGGTATATCCCTGACCTTGAATGAAATGAAGCGACCCAGGCCCGGAGCACGTGGCCAATGGCGACCGGGGTGTTCCCAGGCGCGTGTTTGGTGCAGAGGCCCGAATCCGGCTCTGCCTTAGAAAGGAAATTCCCGCATACGGGCTTACCAAGCAAAACAGCTGCTTCTGATGGGGTTTTCGGACTTTATTAAAGAAAGTGCTGAGGCACTGACCAGAGAGCAGTGCAAGAAATAGTAGCGAGCCCTGTTTGAAAAAAAAAAAATCCCCCATCGCCCTTTCCTGTGCCCTTTTAAAGTTGACGCAGTGCTTTAAGAGGCTAACACAGAAGGGTAAAGTAACTCTCCATAAAACCCAGAGACGAGATTTTAAAACTCCTCTTTGGATCCTGTCTGGAGTCACAGGTGAACTGGAAAATATTTCATTACAATTTAAGCACTTTTGTCATTTTTTTTGTCCAGTTCATAGAACAAGTGGTACATTCAAGTTTTTTCTTTGTTTAAAGGTCATTTTAAAACTTTTCTCCCTTTTTATAGATTGAAGACGACAGACGCAAACCACTGAAGCTGGGATGCTCTCGTGCTGGTATTTCAGTGGACTTACAGGTCTGTCTGGAAGTATCCAGCCGTTAACATCACTAGAACGGTTTGTCCCACATCTGTGTAACCTGGCAGCCAAGGAGAGTGGACCGCAGTGCCTATGCGTGAACAGTGACGCCTTCACTGTACTAGTCAGTGGGGTGCTAGACCCTTGAATGAGCATGTGCACTGTGTGGCCCTCATATTCAAAATGACTGAACCAGTAGAGCAACGAGTCTGCATCAAATTTTGCGTTAAGCTTGAACGTTCCTCTGCGGAAACCGTTCGGATGATCCAGAAGGCCTTCGGGGACAAGGCAATGAGTGCAGCAAAAATAAAAGTGTGGCACAAACACTTCAAAGATGTTCGGGAATCTGTTGAAAGCGATTCACTTTCTGAAAGGCCTGCTACAAGCAGAACACCTGAGAATGTGGAACGTGAACTGTGTGAGGTCCCAAGGTGCCTACTTTGAAGGGGACTGAGGGGTCATTGTCCTATGTACAGTGTTTCTTGTATCTTCAATAAATATCTCTTTTATATTACATGGCTGCGTACTTTTCGAACAGACCTTGTATACCAACTATCACTCAATCTACAGTTACAATGGGAAAGCGCCTCTAATAAGGTCAAATATTATTACTAACTTTTATCAACCATGTGTCCTTGTACTGACACAGGAGTTAAAGTAGTAGGACAATGCTAATGGTGACAGGGCAGTGTAGAAGATGCTTCATGTTCATCTTTTCATTTAATTCTCACAACTTTGATAGATCCTATTCTCCTACAGATGAAGAAATGTGTTAGGTAGTAACTCAAGTTCTGTCACGCATAAGTGCTTCCCGAACAAGAAGCCTCACGTGTAACTTTTTGGCAGTGTGACTTCTGGAAAGTCACTTGAGATTTGGTGTCCTGGTGTAACAGTAAAATATTTAAACAGATTAGGCCAGTTGGAGGAAAGGACTACAATAGAGCTCTTATGAATATAATCTCTTCATATTATTTAACTGCATTGAACCTAGAGAAGGTTTCCAAAATTTGGCACGAAAGGAAGCATCTGTCAGTGTTTTAGGTATTTTGGGTGCATGTATCATAATGAGAAAAAGGGACTTAATAGGAAAGTATTAGAGCCCATAGGGAAAGTTCATATGGAAGGAAACAGCAGTCTAGCAAGATGGGCTCTGTAGCAAGAGCCCATACATGCTAGAACAAGTTCATTCCTATTAACCAATCTGCATGTCTAGCAGTTGAGATCTTTTTATTAGCCTGTCAGTTAAAAATAACTCATTTTCCAGAACCTTAAATAAAGGTATTTAATATTTACCCTGCGGTCATTCTTAATGTTCAATTCATAGAATTGTCCTGGCCTTTCCATCTAAACTTGATTTCTTTTTATATTGTTCAGCCTCATAAGTTCTTTGGGCACTGTATTCAACAAATATTGTTGGCTGGCCATTAATGCTGGGGCGGGGGAGGGAAAAAGGAAATAAGTGCACTTGTATGCGGTGAGTGGTGGCCATTTATAATTTGAGATAGGGCTGGCCAGGATGGACTATATTTTTCAATATAGACCTGAAAAAGCTGAGGGGAGGTGCCAGGGCTATATGTTTATAGTTGAGGGAAGAGTGAATGTGTTTAAAGGTTTGGAGAGAAAGCAAAGTAAATCTGCCCTTAAGGGGAGGAGAATTTCATGTCTGTATGCAGGGGTGGTGGGTGGTTATTTTTTTTATTTTTTTATTCCTCTTCACTTCTAGGAAAGCCAGGTTATTTTAAACTATGGTAAGATGGCAGCTTGCTTTGTGGCCTCCCAGGCCTCTGAATGTTTTAACTAGAATGCTCCCTACTGCCATATACATTCCCACTCTCAACCTAACTTTTCTCTGACCACTATCAGCCCTTCTTCCCCCTCGATTTCTTTATTGCCCTGTAATGGGCTTACAGCACTCAACTGTATGCTGTACGGTCCCATGTGTACTTGCCTGACTGCTCCTCCATTCTTTAGGCTCTGGACCATTCAAGCTAAAGTCCATCTTGATCCCCACCATATTCATAGGGTCTAGTCAAGTGCCTGGCATATCATAGGTTCTCAAATCCATCATGACTAGGACAAATGGCAGCTTCATTTATAATTAAATTTAATATCAATAATTGTTCTGTTGAGTTATATATAGCATTCAAATGAGTGGCTTAGTCTCCTACTTAAGGGGGCAGCATAATGTTAAGAGCCTTGGTTGAAACCCCTACCCTTCCATGTTTGATCTTAGACTAGTTATTTAGCCTCAGTTAGGTTCTATGAACTGGTAACCATAATAGCAGTTAAGATTGAAATGAGTTGTACATGGCACGTCTAAGTACCTGGAGAGTAGTAAACATTAAGTCAATGTTACTGGGTGGAAGTACTGCTTAATCATTTTAATAATACTGTATGGTCATTGCAATATTAGAACAAAATGACAATACTGGTATTTAGATAATACTAGAATAGCTTTAATGTTCATTTAGTAATAAAGCACTTAACTATGGGCCAAGTACTAGTCTAGGTATCAAGAACACATCAGTGAACAAAGTGTACAAAAACCAGTGGATATGGTTGGTTGTAACCATGTAACTGGCCACATTTCAAGTACTCAATAGCTGCATGTGGCTAGAAGCAGCACAGATATAGATCATTTCCACTACTCCAGAGCTTGGATTCTTTGGGTTCCTACTGATCCACTGATAGAGGCTTCCTGAGGAAAAATGCTGCAAAGCAACATCGGGGAGGAAGGGGATGTTGTTGTAACAAAAGGCCTCTAGGAAGTGGCTTCCTCAAATGGTAAGTAGTTAAAGGAAATTTGAGAGAAAACACTCACAAAGCCTTAACAGGCCATAGCAAGTTGTGGCAGAACGAGGAGTGCATAAGATAATTCACCAACAGTGGTCCAGAGAACATGTGCCCAGGGAATGGCAATGTTTTCCAAGTATAGTCATGATGAAAGATGTAAAATCTGCAAGTGTTAAAGTCTGACTGAAGGCTAGCAAATAGTTTTCCAGAATAAGCACTGGATTCACAAACCGCTCCATGTTCTACTCCAGAGTCCTAATGCCCCTTGATTCATTTGGCCTGAGGCCCTGCATCTGCCACGGATCAATTGCTCAGTGGCCACGTGTGGCTAGGGGCAGCACAGATGAACCATTTCCATTGCTGCAGTTTTATTGGCAGTACTGTCATAGAGATGACATGATGCAGCCACCTTGTGTTTCAGAAGAGAAAACCTGCCAGACTAGGACCTAAAGATACCAGGTCCTAACCTCTGAAACCTGTAAATGCTAACCTTATTTGCAGACATGATTAGATTAAGGGTCTTGAGATGGGGATTATCTTGGATAATCTTGGTGGGCCCTAAATGTGATCACACGGGAGGGAGAGGGAGGCAGAGAGGGACATTCCACACACAGGAGGTGGCTATGTGAAGACAAGCAGATTTGAAGATGCTGGCCTTGAAGACTGGAGTGAGGCAGCCACCAGGAGCTCGAAGATGCTAGAGCCCCCTAAGGGGGAGGCATTTGATTTGGCCCACTGAAACGAATTTCTGACTTCTGGATTTGAGAACTGAGAAAATAAATTCCTGTCATTTTAAGCCACTGCTAATACAGGCACTAAAGCTTAAGATCACAGACATAGCTGGGGCTAGAACCTCCCCACCTCAGCCTGCCGCCACGGTTTATTAGTACCTCCTGGGTGAGTGGGAGTAGATCTTGTCTAGTCATTAGTCAGTTTTTAAAATTTCATAGATATGGCAATGGATTTAAAATTTATTTAGACTTTAGTCGTGAGAGACATGAGCATGTGGCAAAAATAGGCAGGATTAGCAAATGCCTCCTAATAAAGCATTATAAAAACTAAAGGATCAGTTAATGATTTATTGGCATGTCATTTACATAGTACAAAACACCAAGCTAAAAAAATTCAAAAACCAAATTAAGACAATAGAAAAAAAATTCTAATTATTATAAACTTTGCCCTGTTTGTCATGCCCCAGAAATAATAGAGACAGTTAAAATTTTTTCATGAACAACCTGTTAGTTTTGGCTCATGTTCTAAGAAATGTAAACTTGGATCCCTGAGAAGTTTTAGAAACAGTACGACTAATAAAATTAGTTTCAGGGTAAACTGCCACAGGGCTCGTACTTAAGTCCTTTACGTTGTAATTTTGGTGTATCTAGGCTGCAATACTACTATGAACAATGGGAGACCACGAGTAGTATCATACTGGAGACTGGAAAGGAAATTGGGCCAAAGAACCTAGGTTTCTGAATGAGTTCATACTTCTTGAGCTCAAAATTGATTCTTATGGGAAGGAACAACACATGGTTCAACTAGCTCCTTAAACAAACATGTTAATGGACAAATATATCTGAAGTCCTTTTCTTTGCATTATTTTCTAGGTTTATCAAAATTTCTTTTATGTGAAACCATTTTCACCTATTCTGTATGAAAATACCTTATCTACAGACACTGACATGAATTACTAACGCTTTTTTATTAAAGTGTTTAAGCAAAACCACCAATTGACTAGACCATGATGTACTTCAGGCTATTTGTGGCCTCATGAATATTCAAGTAATGCTTTCCTTTAGTGAATGCTATTAAAGCTGAAGCCTAGGTTATAACTAGCCATACTCAGTAATACACACGGAAAACGTAAAGATCAAAACTCAATCCTTGGCTGGGTGCAGTGCGCACGCCTGTAATCCTAGCACTCTGGGAGGCTGAGGCAGGAGGATCACTTGAGCTCAGGAGTTAAAGACCAGCCTGAGCAAGAGTGAGACCCACCCCCACCCAACCCCCCATCTCTACCAAAAATAGAAAAAATTAGCTGGAGGTGGGGGAGTGGTGGCCACTGCCTTTAGTCCCAGCTACTTAGGAGGGTGAGGCAGGAGGACTGCTTGAGCCCAGGAGTTTGAGGTTGCAGTGAGCTATGATGATGCCACTGCACTCTACTTGGGGGTGATGGAGTCTCAAATAAAAAAAAAAAAAAAAAGCAAAACCAAAAACTCAATCCCCTGTTGATGAAAAGATTGTATATGTTGTTTATGTGTTAATTACAGTAATGCCTTTTAAAAGTTTTTTTTTTTGAGACAGAGTCTCTGTTGCCCTGGCTAGAGTGAGTGCCGTGGTGTCAGCCTAGCTCACAGCAACCTCACATCCTGGGCTCAAGCGATCCTCTTGCCTCAGCCTCCCGAGTAGCTGGGACTACAGGCATGAGCCACCATGCCCGGCTAATTTTTTCTATATATTTTTAGTTGTCCAATTAATTTCTTTCTATTTTTAGTAGAGACGGGGTCTCGCTCTTGCTCAGGCTGGTTTTGAACTCCTGAGCTCAGACAATCCGCCCGCCTCGGCCTCCCAGAGTGCTAGGATTACAGGCGTGAGCCACCGCGCCCGGCCCTTTTAAAAGTTTTGAAACTACAGAAAC